AATAAAATAAAAACTACTTTAATAATTCAATATTATATATACTTACACATACACACACACCAGCCACTTTATTAGGCACACCTTTAACTGCTCATTAACACAAATTTCAAAATAGGCCAATCACATGGCAGCAACCATGTGCCCTGCTGAAATTGTACCTCTACTGGGATTTCCATGTACAAACCTCACAGGGAATGGTCAGAAAAAGAAAAAATATTCAGTGAGTGGCAATTCTGTGGGCGCAAATGCCTTGTTGATGCACAGGAGAATGGTCAGACTGGCTCAAGCTGATAGAAAGGCAACGGTAACTCAAACAGAATCGAGGTAGTAGAGCATCTCTGAACAAACAACAACTCTAACCTTGAGGCAGATGGTTTTACAGCAGCAGCAGATCACAATGGGTGCCGCTAGGAGCAGGAAACTGATGCTTGAGATAGCACAGGCTCTCCAAAATTGGGAAAACGTTGCCTGATCTGATGAGGCTCCATTTCGGATCCTAGGGTATCCATCTCAGTGACCTCCACAGTCACCAGATCTTGTTCCAATTGTGTACATTAGGAATCTGTTGGAACCCCCAACCATAAATATAACGATCTCACTTACACGGGTCATTGCTATGCATGAACCATCCTCAGGTCTGACTGGCTGATGGTCAGGGGAACATGATTGGGCCTTGCTAAATCTCACATCTTTCTCCAAAGATCTCACAATAAACCATGATTAGTTCTTACTCTAAGCACTTAGACTGAGCCATTGCACAAGGTTTTTAAGCGGCCGTGTCCATCATTCTGGCTTTGAAAAGTCATAATGAGAAAAATGTCCATTACCACATGGGAACTAAACAAAAGCATAGAAAAGAAAAACACTTTACCTCTCCTTGACTTGCTTTTCTGCTTTGGAGCTGCCTTAATTGCGACATATTTATGCAGAGAAAAAGGAGCCTGGATTTGTTTTGTTTTCCTCGTTCACGGTTGTTTCATTGCAACAGATGCTGAAAGACAGATTTGTTCAATTTAAAATCAAAAGGAACAAGCTGGAGCTTTTATGTGCTATGTATTCCTGTTTCTAAAGGAGCTTAATATCCTGTCATCACACTTTGTACTGTGATTCACAGAAATGCTCTGGAGGTGGACTATGGCATGCATTCAACTTGTATATTCAATGTACAGCCCATTCAATTATCACCCATTGTCTATTTCAGAAGTGGACACAATAGGTTGTGCAACATAATTATGCACAACAATATTAAAGCTATATATATAATATGCTTGTTGCATTTGAGTTCTCATAGAAACTTACCTTTTTAATTTATTCGGGTTTTTTTTAAATAGTGTAAGAAATCCAAGCCTTAACCCGTTAAGACCTGCCATTAAACCAAGTCCGCCAGATCATATTTTACATTTGTACCTGCTGTGGTGTCATTTTTTGGAGTAATTTAATTTTCCATACATCATTAGAACCCTTATATCCTAGCTTTTAATAATATTAATAGAATTAGTTCAATATTAACTGAAAATACAAACTACAAAATAAACGCAAAAAAATTTAAAATAATTGTTTTCTTCACATATTTTTTTCTAAATACAGACACATCTTAGCTTTATCCCTCAAAATTTTAAATGTAATAAAGTTGCACAAAATACTTTTGAATTTATTCTGAGCGAATTCATTGGTAAGTTTTTGAGATACATTTATAAAGTGAGACAAATAACTAAAAACATGCACATTTTGCATAAAACATACCATGAACATCAAAATAAACTATTTACAACTGTGCAATCAAATTGCAAATTAATTGATCAATTCTAAATAATATACAGTGCAATAAATAACAAAAATGTGGTGAAACTTCAGAACAGGAAAACATCTTATTTATATTTATATTGGGTAATATTCCAAGATTTTGGATTCAAATGCAATTTTCCTGTGCAGCTTAATTTTTCCATCAATAATATTTTTCATCAGGTGTTCTTGCAAAACTATAACAAAAATCAGCAAATATCATATAAATAATATTTTCTATGCTGTTACCCGTGCTTTCAGGTTCTATACTCTCATATATGCTGAGACACGGACACACACACTCTGGTTGACGCAGCACAGGGCATTTATATTAAAATATGGCCAACCAAAAATAATTAAAAGTCTCTCAGCAGCTTCCTGGAGATGATGGTGGGCAGGCCAGACGAGCAGTACTCTGGTGTGCCTTGACTCAGCTTAGCCCAGTGTCGTGTGGGTTTCTGAAGCAGAAGTGTGGGATCTCCCTTATGCTGGTGCATCGCCATGCTCCGAGCTGACTGGATCTGTTTGGCTTGGCATTGACTCCTTGTCGGAATATGGGCAGTCCAGTGCCCGGCACACTTTTCAGGGGAAAGGGAAACCAGCCAAGCCCCAGTGACTCAACTTGCACCAACTGCGACGCTCTAGACCTGGTCGATGGGCACCTCACGGGCTCCTCCGGCTCCCGCGATATTCATCCGCTGCTCCCTGCCTTCTCCCGCACACCGAATGATGTGACTCACTCTTAGGGCTTGGTATTGTGACCAATTCGGCAATCCGATTCGATTATTACTTCTATGGTTGTGTCTAATTTTGATTTGACTTGATACCGATTAGCTATAAATATTTTACTTAAATTCTTAGTTTTGCAGACATGGGATCCATATTTTGATAAATGCTGGTAACTGAAACCCTCCTTCTTAAGTTTATTACTGAAATACACATCTACATTAATAATAGGCTGCTCATAGTTGTTTATTTTAAATTTACCGACTCAATATTGTTGCGTTAAACTGAAGATCTAGATTTTTTACCCAGCCCTACTCTCTCTGACCGGCAGCTGTTGCAAGTTTACATCTTGATCTGGTGATCACCAATAGGCTAAAATGTTTTCTAAATAACTATTTTGGTACGCCTGTATCCCACACTTTTTAACGCATAATGCACAATAATTACGTTTTTTTTTCACTCAGTGCAAATGGCATTTGGTCAATTTGCCTAATCTGTGAGCAACTGGGCATTCTGCATAGCCACGTGCTGGATATATATTTCTTTGATTATATTTTTTTGTTCAAACTGGTGATTTAATAAACCACGGCATTCAACAAGTGTCAATGTCATTGAGCAACTTTGAACTGATTTGGAAAATCAAACATTTTGTATTAACTTGACTCCAAATAACTCTTTGAAGAGTGCACAGTTACTAAATTTCTTGCAATGTTTTTGTTTTCACAAAATAAATAAATGTGTATTTACATTTTTCAGCAAGAAATGAGCAGCTGACACTGGCCTGACGCTGAGAGTAATAATAATCCTTGCATTATTTTGACCAGGCAGTGCTTAATTAAAGCCATGTTAGCTTCTGTTTGAGGCGCTACAGTCGAACCCTGGGCTCAAGCTTATTCAAATGGCAGTCCCAGAGGGGGATGAATCCAAACTTGGGTGAGATGGCAAGCTGTTCTGCATCACTACAGCAACACCTGCTATTACAGGTTCCGTCTGCCAGTCAACCTGGCCCAACGGGGGGCGAGCGGACCACAAAAACATTTGTACCTACAAAACTCCTGATTAGCATACCAGTGGGAATAATGGACAAAGGAACGAGGGGAAAGAAGGAAAGATTCAGAGAGTTTCTCAGATTTTACAAACACTGTTTCCCTCTTCAGTTAATCATGCTGCAGGAAAAGTCTACACATTGTTGCTTTTGAGGTCTCAAAAATGGCACCCCTTAGGGCACTGGAAATCATTGGTGCACATATGTTGAACATGGCGTCTTGAAAGCACATTAACAAGCCTTTTGTGGCCTGTTATACAGATCACGGTTGGAAGACAATGCTTTCTGAGCTGTCTGTTATTTAGGATGAGCTACTCACCTGACACTGTACAGATACACTTGACTGGTACAAAAGGACAAAGAGTTAAACTCTCAGGGCACTCAACACCCTGCAACTCACATTGAAATAATACAAATCTGAGTAAAAGAAGTGAATACACCCTCTTTTTCAGAGAGACATCTGTCTAAAGTCTTGTTGGTTCGTTTTGGTTCTCGGTGGCTCTTAGTTGGGAATGTTGAAAAAGGTTAAACACATGTCTAAGTAGATCATATATTTACGTATATATATATCTGGTGTTCGGGAGTTGCAGTTGCCAGTGGGTCATGGAGATTTTGATTTGAGTCCAACCTGCATTAGATTTTATTCCAAAATCTTTGCTTTGATGCAGTAAATGGTGTTGCACCACACAAATTCTGATCCAAAAAAATATAGTTATAAAATTTAAAATATATATATAGTTTATTATTAAAAATCTAATTAAATAGTTGTTTATATAATAATAGCTCTGCGTAATAATTTGAATCCTTATGATCATGGTATCCTCCTGCCACATATATATCAAAGAGGGTTAGTTTCAAACACATAAGGTCTTCAAACTTTATAAACAGACCATTCCAATTTTTGGAATATACGTCCCGGTGGTTAAATGAACTCAATCTGTTCTGGCTTTATCAAATTAACCCTAGAACAGTATTAAAATACCATTCATCTTGAATAAGTTTACAGTCAAACAGGAAAACTTTAAGTTAACTAAAATTACTGCTTCATTGCTGTCTTATATTTACATGTATGTGTTTAGCAGTCAAGACAGGGCAAATCCAAGTCAATTTTAATTTCAAGTCAGTTCATTTACAAAAAAAAAAAAAAACTAAATAGCAATAATAGGTAGCATTCCTATGGTTCGTCTACCAACTGTATAAATTTAAATTGCCAAAATGCCAAAAACCTAAACATTATATCTAAAAAAGTAAGTATTTACAAAACACAGAGATTTAAATGAAATGTCTCTTGTAGAAATCTGTTAAGCCAAAAGGAAAACAAATATCTAAAATGGAGAAACTTCCCTTTAACTTAAATTTGCCTCATTTATATTTATGCTTTTAGCAGACGGTTTTATCCAAAGCGACTTACATTTTGAATGAATGAACACTTTTTTTTGTCAGTTCTTGCTTGCCCTTGTATTTAAACCCATGACCTTTTGTGTTGTTAGCGCAATGCTCTACCAACTGAGCCACAGGAAAGCCATACTTTAAGGGAAACATTCAGTCATGTGCATGTCACTCAAATGGAGTGACAGCAAGGACAGCCAATCACGTGTCAGCAACACTGCCAGCAACCAATAAATGTACTTAGATCATAAAGAAGCTTTAGTTTTATTGGCTGATTGAGAGTGTTCTCTCTCTCTCTCTCTCTCTCTCTCTCTCTCTCTCTCTCTCTCTCTCTCTCTCTCTCTCAAACACAAACATGCACGATGCGAACTTTCACAGAGCGAAATGCAAATGTGAAGTGATTATTATTCAAGTTTTGTCAGAGTCAAGTCGCGAGTCATTGGGGTTCAGGTCCAAATTGAGTCGCAAATATTTACCTGAAGGGCACAGGTAGCACATGCAAACTCCTTTCAGTAAGAGCCTCGAACTACCAACCTTCTAACTGGAAAGCCACATTGCTACCCACAGTGCGCCATTTATTGATGTATTAATTATTTATTTATGTTATGTCTAATGGCAGATTGGCTACTTGATCTGAAACTTGATTCTTGTTTAATGACTGGAACATTTGCTCAAACTACTGGGAAAAGGACAATCCTTCATCGTAAAAATCTGGTTACAATTCAGTCGATACAAAACTCACCCATTTTGTTTCTTTAGCTCTGATTCTTCTGGTCTACTCTTGACCGGCTGCTTTATGCCCAAAATTCAGCTGCTCATATTTTGACTGGGAACACACCAGTTATTAAATCTCCGCCCTGGCTCTCGATCTGGTTGTTTTTGTTTTACAGTTACATACATTACATACAAAGCTCTACGTGGCTTGGCTCCCAGGTACTTTCTTTTTTTAACCACATGCACATTGATCTGTATTTAGCTCCACCCAGTCAAAGGCTCTTGCAATACCACTCCCAGTTCCTAAAACCAGGAAGTAGATCTTTTCTGTGCATTCAGCTTCACTTTGAAACACTCTTCCAAAGGACCTCAGCAATACAAAGTACATTTGGGAATTTTAGCGCATTCTTTTTTGTTGTTGTTGTTGTTTTACTTAGATTATGATAGTTGCTGTAAAATTTTCTATTCGAGTTTGTTTTATTATTCTTTAAAAAAGTGGTTTTACCTTTTACAAAAATGATAATGCATATATTACAAACTAAAGCATTAATTAAATCTGAATCTCCCCACCTTTATTCCATAAAGCCTGGTTGTGTTTGTGTGGAGCTAAGGATTGCCCCATGCTCCTGAGAGTTAAAGAGAGAGCGCACGCTTCACTACAGAAACACCTGCTTCTGTTCACTCACTGCGCCACTTACCCCGGCCCTCAGGGATGCGCCACGGGGACGAGGAGACACGGTGGAGACACACAGCAAACATTGTCTCTCAGCCTTGTGTCATCTGGAGGAGGAAACAGATCCAGCACCGCCTCAGAATACACAGATGCTTCTACAAACTAGGCTAACTGCATGCAGGATGCTAGAGATCTCAACAAAGTTTCCCACTCTCAATTATAACTCTTTATTTCCATTCTGTTGTCATGATGGTGAAATGCGTTTGGAAGTTTATACCAACAAATCTGCCATATCACAGATTTAACTTATTTTTTAACCTTTGGTATTAGTATTTATATACAAAGAATATTTTAGAATTAATAATGTTTTTATTTGGAACAACCATTTTTACTGAATGGAAATATTTCCATGTTCATTATCAATAGTTTTCCACCCAAATCAAATGGCGAATATAGGTGCCAACTACACCTACTCAGCTGTCATTCTAACATTCTCCAATTGAGGCAGTATTCCACACACTCTACGAAAAAGGTCAATAAAACCTAGGTGGCTAAAGTCTGTGCACAAATGTCGATTTTGGCTTGTAAAAGTGCCATTTAAAAGTATTTTATTAGCAAAACGGAATGGTTGCCAAGGAAAAATTTTTGGTTGCTATGGAAAAGTCAATGAAATCATACAAAGTCTCCATACCAACATGAGGAATATAAATCAATCTCCATGGGTCTAGGATTTTCCGTAGCTGAGTTATGTCATGGTAAACAGTAAAGTTGCTGTGGAGGGGTCAGTGACATAATATAATGTTCCTTTTGTCACTATAAGTAATATAAACCAACTTCCATGATTTACCAAAACTGGGATAGGGACAGCTGATTTGGTTGCTTTGGTTAAAAAAAAGTCATAAATTACTATGATTACCAAAAATTTTTGGCCGTTTCACATTTATATTTAATGGCCGTATTAAGTCAGTGATGAATATGTAACCCCTTTTAGAACCTGGGGTCCAAATACTTTTGCACAGCAGTTAGTTTATTCTTGCACAGACTGATGAGTTACACAAATTAAGTTTCTATAAGTTTCTTTGTTTGAGTTACAGTTTTTGGCCAAAATTTCCCAGCATTCTCAGTGATTTACCAGAATACCAGTCTTACAAGATTGAGCAGCCCAAGTCAGACCAGTTTGGATATCTTGAAATATGAGAAAAGTTTCTCATGCCATTAAACTTAGTAAATCCAACCTGGTTTTGTTGAGAATGTTTGTTTCTTTTGATGGAACACTCTATGATAAATGTAAGCTCCAGTAGATGAAGCATGAATGGTTTGAACAAGCTGGTATTATATCATTCTGAAATATTACAATTTCAAATCAAATCAAAACAACTGCCACTGTGTCTTAAACTTTCAGAACTTTGTGAAGCTTAGCTGAAAAAATCCTTTGCCTCATACATGAAGAAAGTCAGCGGTAACAGCTGCATTGATTACCCTAAATCATTCTCAATTAACCTCACAACTTACATATAGAGGCTTTCCAGGTCACAGAGAACAATGACATTACCTGCAGAGGGATCTGTTAAAATCAAGATACATGGAAAAGAAAGAAGGAGAATTTTAAGGCAGACTCAGGCCTAATCTGAGGACCCCTCATTAGATGCTAATGACTAATTAATTTCACTTTAATGCATGTTTTAATAGAACATAATTTTGTGTTCATTTTAAGATGTATTTAGAGGAGCTACGGTAACCTGTAGGAAGAATATCACTTCTTTTTATTTACCACTAACATACATTACAAGATTAGTGCATATAACAGTGCAAATGCAACATATAATTTTTACAATGTGAGAATTATTGATCAGTCATTTAGCAAAGTGAAAATGAAGCTCATATGGTGTGAATTTCATTTGAGGCGTCTAGTTCACTGATGCCATCAGTGATGGTGAAGAAAAAACTGTATGCTGGAATTTAAATGTTAATTATAAGGCTGGCAGAAGAACTGAGACCCTGAGCTTAATGAAAAATAAAAAGCAGCTGCAGTAACAACCAGAGTGTCTAGACTGTTCTTGAAACAGCAAATATTGACATAGAGGGGCATTTTATATTTTGTGCATGTTTTAAATAAATAAAACCATATTTTGTGTTCAGAAATGTTTGGGGTTTTCTGTCAGCTGGTAAATGTGAGCATTTAAGCTCTGTTTTCTTGCAACAAAAAAAGTAAATACAAAGCTTTTTAGGGAAGGCTCTGGAACTCTCTGCCTCCTCCTCTGAGGTCTGAAACTGAACTGAGTGCTTTCAAAGCAGGTTTAAAGGTGGGTCACTTTTTTAAAGCAGCGTTTTGTGTATAAAGCAGTGTTTTTGCTTAGAGGATGAGTGCATTTTTGTTTATATGTTTGGTTTGAGTCTGACTGTGTGTATCTGCTGTACTTTGTTATCTGCAAATTATTTTACTGGGCAAACTTTGTGTTGTGGTGTGGCACTATTTACAAATAAATTTGATTGATTGATTGATTTGCTCGATTCCCTAATGCCGTGCTGTTTCCTGTTGTTACTTGTGTACATTGTTTTATCTTTGATACAAATCCCAATCAAGGTATTAGGTAAAGCAGGGGATCTATTTTTATATTTATCATATAAACCCAACGTTTTATGCCTATATTGAATTATTAATGATTGAGGAATGGGTCTAGCAAGTTATATATTTTCTATATTTTTAATATATAATTATTTAATCTCTGAGCTTGAGGTCTCTCATGGAAAAAAAAGGGGGGAAAACAGCCGCACTCTCCTCTTTTTGATGTGTTTGCCTTCACAGCTTCTGAGAGCCTTCTAATTCCATCTGGCCACAACAGAGGCGATGGAATGGCTCAAAAAAGCATTTCCATATGTGCAAATTAGGAGGCTGCCTCCCCAAAACTGCAGCACCATTCCTCTGAAGTAGATAGCGGTACAGAGAGATGCCAAGTCCAATAATGGTAATCAAGAGGGGAGTCCTTTATGGCCTGTGTTTACCTCACACGAAACAGTACGGTATTGTCATCCTTATTGTAGCCTTTCAAGTGCTTCAGTTGTTACGAAATGATATTCAACATCATTATACTGACTCCTTGTTTTCTACAGGAATCATTTTAAGATCTTCATGGTTTAGCGCTGAAAGGTTCTGGTTTCAGGAATGTTGTCAGTGTGAAACTGATCTGATAAAGATCAATCTAATCTTTAACACAATCTTTCAATCATGATCTATCAAAATAAAAGTGGTAGAAAGGATGAACCCATAATTGCGGGTTATAAGCCCACATACAAAACAGCTTAATTAAAAAATAAACAATTCACTATAGAACTCATCTAGATTATATGTAAACAGGATGCTCTCTAATCTACTTTAGGTAATACTGAAGTCCTATACACACTAAGTGATCCAAAAAGCTCATCACATCACATGACTTGAAATCGCAGGTCAAATTGCCTCATAGCTGAACATGCCGTCGTAGCGGAATCCGCAATCGCACTGCATAGGCAAGAACAGCTCTCGCATTTCCTAATCCAAACTCTAGCGAATACTTTTATTTTTTCCTCTCCCACAAAAAACACAGGTAATTTCAATCACATGGTTTACAGGGGAGCTGAAAAGTTATAAAATATTGCACGGAAGCTTTCTAAACCATTTCTCTTTGTGCTCTGTGGGGTCTCTCTTTATGCTCTCTCAATTGAAATATGCCCCTAAGCAATGGTTTTCTATCCATGAGATTTTGACAC